AATGACGTTCAGGTGAGGGTTGTGAAATGTATTTCAATTCCACTGGAGTAGCTTGACTTGCAAATAATTCGCAAAATTTTCCTTTATTTTTCTCGGTCTTACTGTGTTCCCCTTGGAAACAGTGAGCTTTCCAAACCCTGCTTTTCAACTTTGAACTCATATTATGTTGAATTTAAAGGACATGGATCAAAGAAACATGTAATGCTTTCCAGATGGAAACAGCGAAGTGCCTCGGAATCCCTGCACACAAGATCATCGTTAGGGTGAGACGTATCGGTGGCGGTTTCGGTGGCAAGGAGAACACCTGCGCACTATTAACCGTTCCAGCGGCAATTGCAGCACGAAAGTAAGCGCTCTGTTATTTTATAGTTAGGGTCGCTCAAGGTATGAGCCTTCCTACTAGGTCAGTATGCTTCAATTCAAGGGGCGTGTCAAGCAGTATGTGTGTGCCACGGCGCCGAACACGATCTCTGTCAGTCGGATAAACGGAATGCGATAACATTCGGGTAGAAACGGAGTGATACAAACGATATGATGCATTCTTGTCACTTGCTCGCCTGCGACAGATAGTGCAGAATGGGTTTGGCACCGTGCAAAACCCATCAAGCCTGACACGGCCCTTCGTCCGCAAGGAACTAGGCTACATTTCTGTGGGTTGTGAATGGCGAGCGTCGCAAAAATAGAGAAGATTACTTCCAGCAAGTCATACGAGGTGGCACAGGAACACAGACACATTCCTCATCATATTTCCCTTAGAAGATCTTTAATGAAACAGTCACACTCTTGGGTACAGCTTTTTCAAGCTCACTGGGTACAGTGGTTTTATCCCGACGTCCTCACGTACAGTTATGACCCCTGCAAACGATAGGGCGTGTGGTGGGTGCGTGGCTTGGAACGCAGACAGAGCGGATTTCTCTCCAATTGTAGCAGGCTTAGGATGAAGTCATTGTTGAAACAAGACCACCTTGGCTGCTTTCCAAACCGCGCCGCATCACACGCCCCATCCTTTGCAGGGATCATCAGTGTCAGTGTACTGAGGACTATCATGCGGAGCGTTTGAAACGCTAATGTCCCGTTGCTTCTCTCCTCTCGCCTACATGGGCAACTGTTGAAAGCTGAACTTTTCAATAAACGCAGCTATACTGTGTATGGTACGTACCATAAATTCTTTACAGATACAGAAAACCAATTCGAATAACCCTGGAACGATACGATGACATGGCGATCACTGGAACAAGGCATCCATTCAGGTTCAACTATAAGGTGAGGCTAAGGGTCACTAATTACTGCTCGAATACTCCGAGTTGGGATGAACCAAAGCAACTGTAGGTTTCATCCATGTGTTTTTCCCCGATTGAGAGAATTAGGAAAATAGTGAAAATGGGAATTCAGCAAATCGGGTGAACGCTCGTGCCGCTTTCACTTTAATAGGCTCCAAAGAAATCCATTTCATAGAGAGGATTCATTTTTAGTGATCCAACTGCACGTAGAAAATAGGCGTTCGTGGTTCGCGGGAGGGAGCGCGTTTATTTAAATACTTTTTGTACAACCTGGAATTAGCGCATCTGAATTTATCTACCGTATTTTGGATGGGTCCACCCTTCTGCCCCCTTTACACCTGGGGTGAAAGTCCTTACCTCGATCACAGTGGCTCCAAGTCTGCCCAAAGCTATCCATCCCTCCCTTCTTAGAGTTACTCACTCCTCCCTTTCACTTTGGGGAAAACGCTTCGCTGGCTAGCTCACCCATGAAATTAGAGAGCTTAGACAGCGAAGCTCGGTATCGGATACATAAGCTTCGATAGCTAACTGACCTATGAGGTTTGTTTGCCAGTTAGCCACTGAAGACTGGTATCGACCACTCAAATATCTTCGATTTTACGCTCCCACTAAAACGGTGAACTTGGGTGTTAGCAAAAGCAATGATAAGCTTCTTGTGAAGGTTCTGCACATAATTCAGTGGTAGCGAGAAATTTTACATTTTCTTTAGGTAGCACTAGATTCTTCTGGGAAATTCCGCGACTACTCGGTGACAGCGTATGGCAATTGTGGTCACACACTCGACCTTTCAATCGGTGTTACACGTGAGTTTCCATTACGACTCGTTCCTTCTTGTGTATCCTGCCGAGCTGATACTTTTAGAGCGTGCAATGGTCCACATAGACAACGTGTACAGGTTTCCTAATGCCGATATACATGGGCTTTTATGCAAAACAAATCTGGCATCCAATACGGCGTACAGGTATTTTCGCTTTTCATATTATGGACCATGGCGTTAATCCAATAT